ATATATATATATATACATATATATATATATATATATATATCTATATACATATATATATATAAATATATATATAGTACTACTGATCATTTCTAATCAATCTCTGATAACATTTTGATTTTAAGTAGCAATGCAAAACTAAAATATGACTCCGTTATCAATCATTTGACTCTGGCTCACAAATTCCAAATGACATACTGACTGGATAATTGTTTATGTGTAAATAATATTATAAATGAACAAATATCTAGAACTTCCCTTTCCATCTGATATAATTTGCTTGTGTAGGCATAACTTCTTCGTTACCAGCACAACCAAAAACAGAAGTATGCAGTGAGCCCATTGTTAGGGTCTCTGCAGTAAGCTGAGCTGAGAAAAGTACCGTAGTGTCTCATTAGCAGGGCGGGTCCCAACATTCAAAAGTTCTGTCCTAAATAATTTTGATCATTTGAAGTGGGATTCTTTGGAAAGTTTATAAACAATAACTATCGTATCTGTTGCAGATAGCTCTTTGAACGACCTCAGTTTAGTAAAGTTGAATTTAATTCTGATGCGCTTGACAAGCTAACGGCTAATCCAGGTGAAGCCAACACCAAAGTGCATTGCTGTAATCTAAAAATGACTCCAATTTTTAACATTTCAGAGATTCATGCAAACATTAATTTGTAAACCTTTATGTTACAGCCAGTTTCTTATTTCATAGTTATTCTGGCAAAAATCTTTAATATTCATGCAGGACGCATACAAGGTTGCACCAGAAATGCTACAGCTAGCTGTTGTTGCTTGCAAAAAAACATACAAGTCTACGTTAACAATCATGTATTACAAAACAAAAAAATCAAACTATTATCAATTATTTTTGACATAAACGGCTTTAAAATTTTTGAAAGTGGAGTTGTTTTAAACCAGCATCAACCCATTTTGTTTGTGCTGCTGTTGTTTGGTGTATTGTTTTGCACTATTGGTGATTAGAGCATGTCTTGGATCTTTTGGCGTGCCATTTCGCATGTATCGTTGTGTATATTTTGGATCCTTATTTACTGTTTCTTTTTACACTTTATATTTTTGCTATTGTTGGATGTAACTGGGACCCTGTGTACACAATTTCATTCCACCTCATGTGCCACTTGTGATGCGAATGACAATAAAGATCCTTGAACCTTGATTTTGGGCTCGGCTCATCAATCTGTCCAAAATGAAACTAATTACCCAAACTGAGGCTGTTCAGAGAACTATCTACAATACAACTGCTTATAACTGTTCCAAAGAACCTCACTTCAAAACAGGAACTATCACTTTACTGCAGAAAGAAAGCCTTCCTCACAATTTGCATTTTCCAGAGAATGAGCTGTCTGATTTTTTTTGCCATGTGAGGTGAAGCGGTATTAAAGGCCATGCTGCTGTGATGTAAACTCGGAAAACCTTTGAAAGAGAGGTAAATCACTTTACGGATGCTCTGGATAGAATTAAAACCCACTGAAATTAATTTCTAATGAGGGTAAATGTCTAATCTTGGCGTTGAATCAGAGGTTCTTTCGGTAACGGAGCTTTTCAGTCGTACTTTTCATTCCCTCTCTTCAATGCCTCGTCCCCTTCAGGTTACATCCCACTGAGAGGTGACTCATATTGAAGCAGTGCTGGAGAATAATAAGGTGGATTTTGCTCTCAGACAGCAGTGGTTTAGTCCATTGTTTGCACACATGAGCTCTCTGTCCTCTTTCCCTTTCAGGAACATCTTACAACAAGGTAAATCAATAAATTTAAGTCCACTGGTAAGATGGTGCTCTGTGGGGTTGAAGAGGTGCACGCTTTACTTGTTGCTTCCTTCCATTTTAGTGATGTGACCTAATACTAGCAAAACATTTAGATAAAGAAGTTTGTTTTCCTCTTGAAGTGCATTTGTGTGATTCATATTAAATACTTTATAAAACAGTAAGATGATGTATTTGTGGCATGGATACTGCAAGTATGTCTTCAGTCAGGCCTCGTGATGAAGGAGCACAAGCATGTCAGTACTCAAAGCAACAAAATCCCCAACAATTCAGTCCGTAGTTGAATTGAGAAAGGGCCTACGGTCAGACGCAACTCTCAGCCACACATTCTTTGCGGTCAAGCTGTAGCCTGTGGGTTCTTGCAAACCCCACGTCCCCCCTCCCCCAACAGTGCGATGACACTTTGTCATGAAATAAATGACTGTTTCACCTGTTTTTAGATTTGCCACAGATTTCATCTTCTATCTGCGGCCCTGTTTTATGTCTAAGTTCTGAGGCCTGAATTTCCGATCAAGCAAAGTCTTGCTGCACAGCGCAGTGGTGGCACGGTTCTGAGGCCCAGACAGCACATCACTGGATGTTGCTGTTGTCTTCTGTGCCATTTGCCTCTGACATATTCATCTTGCCCATGGAGTGACCCACATGGTTCACCCCGTCCTTGCGGGGTGGCATGCGCTCATTGATGCGGTCTAAGCCCTTTGCCTCCTCAAAGCTGGTGATCTTGTGCTGCGGGGAGAACCCACGGATAGCTGAAGGAGAGAAAACACATTTGCAAAAGTCAGGTTTGTGCATTGGAGCAACATGATACTCATATTATCTTCTGACTAGTATCAACAATTAGTAAGAATTCCAAAGATATGAGCACTCACTGATCAAAAAAAGTTAAGCACCTAGACGGTGTGGTGAAAAATAAATGAATATCATATGATTGCACTGCAATGATTATAATATCAGATCCAACAAATGACAGAAATGGCACTACGGGTGCCCTGCTGGTATTATCTCAGCAGGGTGTGGCACCTCCTCGGGCTTGGCTATAAGTAAAAATTCAGAGTAGAAAAGAATTGTGAAGTCAGCAAAACATCCCACAGCTGTTGTAAGTGGGCCTTGAGATCAGGCAGATTGTCGCTGGGTCAGATTTGGTGTTTAATGGTGATCTCACACATGTCTGACTGGCAAAAAATCAGAGGACATGGCACGACCATGTCCAGCCAGGTTCAATGGTCATCCAACATTATACAGAACCAGAATTCATAAAGTATTACACAGCCAGTTCATAGACACATGCCATGTGAAGATGGGTGTTGTCCTGAAAGGTTGTACTAACTTTAAAAACAAAGGATGTCACTGACAACAGCGCTGTACCATCCCCTGAATTGCAGTGAGAGGTAACCTGAAGTCAACCCAGTGGCTCCCTACACCATGGTGCAATGAGTAATGCCAGTAGGCTTTCATAAGACAGTTCTGTGAACTGGCAGCACAGACCAATCTGCCTTTATCCTCCCTCTGACATAAACCACAGCTGGCCACTTCCTGCTCAGATGTGAGCATTCAGAAATGAAGCTGGCAGAGTGGAACCAAAAGAGGTATGGAGCAGAACTCAGCTGGGCTGAAGTGGAGCTGAATGTGTCGACATCTCCCGCGAGTCATTTATTAAACTTAATAAATTAACTCACTTTGACAATCTTCTTAATGGTTAACTATTTTTAAACTAAATACAAAGTTCCTGTGTGTCATCTTCAATATCCCTTCATTAATAAATCAGTTTGTGTGTGTTGTTTAATCCCACGAGCACATCAGTTCATCACATTACTGAGCCATGGCATAATTTATTTTATTTTTCACGTCAGCTAGTCTGGCTTTTTTACTGCCTTGCTTGGCAGCACAGAAGGGACCAGAGATGGGTTTCGACCTCCTCGCCACCTTGGCGTGTCTTATGGACTGAGGCGGCAGAACACCTCTCATTCCGTGACTGAGGTGTCTTGTGAATGAGTCCAGTGTCTCTTCACAACATCAACAGGATTGAGTCTCATCTTAAGCACCACCACATACACAATGGTCCTTCAATGTAATGCAGACCCAAGATTCACTGCTGAACTTGGTATGTCGCCACTCGTAATCAGCCCATGCCTCCTGGTTATGGCCCCACTCCAAATGCATCTGCCTCTGCTTTGGCATTAATGGCACTGAATGGTGAACTCGTACTCGGGCTGATGGCAGTTGTCTAGACATGATGCAGGATGACTCAGAGTATTAGAGTCCAGTACCTGTGTTCGGATGGCAGGTACAGATAAGGTTCATGTAACAGTGCATGCCACAACAATCCTCCCCTGGTGGTCCGTTTTATGCAACTTTAATCTTCAGGATGTATGTGGATGCCTTCACATACCCATTGGTTCTAACAACAGGCAACTGTGACATCTGTATATCCCACATGTTGAGCCGTTGTACGATACAAGCATTTGGCCTCCTGTGAACCCAATGTAACCCCTGTTGAACATTGTGAAGTACTGGTAATTCTGTCTAGTGTGTCTATGGGACATCCTCTGTTTGGTGACCTTTACTCACAGCTTTTGGCTGACTGTTGGATGCTGACACTTAGGGGGAGTGGTGGTGCAGAGGTTAGCAAAGGTGAGCCTGTGATTGGAAGGTCAGCGGTTCAACTCTCCAGACAGACAACGTCAAAAATGTGGATGGGAAAGGTGCAACACCCACACCTGTCTCCACCATAATTTGCCCCACTCTGGGCCCTTGAGCAAAGCCCCTACTTACCACCATCTGCTCCCCCAGGTGCCCTAGCTGGCAGCTCTCTGCGCCACAGAGAGGGCTGAGGTTTCTTGGTGGTCTCTGGTTGCGTCAGAATGGGCAAACGGCGTAAAAACAATCGCCAAGTCTTTGTGCAAGTTAGTTTGCTGTGGCAACCCCTGAAGAAGGGAGCAGCTGAAAGAAGAATACGTTGGATGCTAACACTTACTGTTTGTTTCTCTGGTTCCCATGTTAGACATGCTGGTTTGCACCTGCATCAAATTACATCTAAATCAAATAATTACTTCTGGGTGCTTAACTCCTTTTTTTTTCTCAGTGAGTGTATCCAAATAAAATGTTCAAAATATGAAGGTGCACCTGAGCAGAAAATGAACTTTTCTAAGAATTAAAATAAAAAAAATCTTAACGGACGCATCCTATTGCTCCGGTTTTCAGTTTGAGCAGAAAATACGTTTAGAAAAGAAAATAATTGTCCCCATAATCCTGTACCATTGTGATTTGTGAGCTTTTTATTTTATTTTATTTTTTGTATTTTGCATTTTTTAAATCATTTTTGTAGTAAACAGCCATAAAACTGACTTAACATACCATTTATTTAGGGTAACATTTCTACTTAAATTAAGACTTAACACATGGAAAAAAAAAAACTATTTTTGCAGCTTTTTTGTTAGTTTGTGAGTAAACATTCGTTTAGTGACTTGATATTTAGGTTGCATATTTCATGTTGATGCTCTGGACTTTTCCTCTTCTCATGCATGCAACGTGTTTCAGAGCCAGATGGAGGCCATTTACAAGCCAAACCCAAACAATGTGTTTTAGTCATGCATCTCACAGTAGCACTTCACTTTGCAGGGTGTTAATTTATAATGAAAGTCTCTTAAGACATTATAACACTATATTTATATATTTTTTCTTCTCTTCTCTGGTTCTCTCACCAGCTGGTAATTACCAAATCCAAAATTACACTCCAGTTATTTGATGTGCAGGGCTTCCTTGATGCAGGCAGTGTAGGTGTTAAGAGCTACAATAAACGTCTCTGTTCTACAGCATGAGAGTTTCTGACTCAACAACTATAAGAACATGATATCTGAGAGGGTTTCCACCCTCCAAATACAGCAGGATGTGAGGTACACTTTTTTTTATCAGCACACATAAATTCATTAGAAAATACCTCTTTAGAAAATACATTTTGCAGAGTTAGGTTTACTTTCTTTAAAATGTGCTTTACCACAAAGTAAAGTGCCATCCATTCAAGTACAGAGCGCTCTACTGGAGAGAAGTTACTGCTGTGTAAGCTGCATAAACTGTCCAAAAGCCTCGAAGGACACCCTGTTATACAATAAAAGAGGTGGGAGAAGGAGCACCAGTTTACCTTCTCTGTCCTCATCATGCGTCTCGATGGCTTCAATGGCTTCAATGGTGGCTGAAGGGGGAGGAGGGGAGCAGGTTACTCCTGATAAAGCCATGCAAATGTTCAACGCAGCCCCAGGGAGACGGCAACTCATGTTTTTGGCCAGATGAGCTGAACGTGTTCATTGTCACTGAAGCCAAACTCAAAGGAGCGCCATGCACTGATACACTGATCAGATTAGTGTCAGTCTGGGGTTAGAAAACTCATATTCTGAGTAACAAGGACAGGTCCAGAGAGACAGAGGGACAGAGACGTGAGCCGATGAAGAGACGAGATGAGAGCACACACATTTATTTGACTCTGAACAGAAACATCAGATCTGTGCACGTGGAAGACACTAATCCTACCTGGGTCCAATCGAACTGTTTCTATTATTTTAAGAAGGTTTCTTATTATCTAACAGTCTTCATAAAATCAGTAGAAATGCTCTAAATGCTCAGAAAAGAAGCTTAAATGTTTTATAATCTTCTTTGACATAAGATAGACATATTTTTATAAAACCAAGGCCTTGCATCTGTAATTTAAAGTGATACTCAATTTTCATACAGATATAACCAAATAAATATGGCAAAAAGTTGACAGTAAGCAGGCCGTGGTAATATTGTCCTCTGTCTCTATTTTGATTCACAAATCTGAAGAAGTAATGTTTTAGATTCTAATTTTCAGTTAATTCACGTATACTGAGCTGATGTTTGGTGTGGTAGTAGTTGAGAATCATCCCAAACACATACTTAGAGCACCAGCAGATCGATCAAGACCTCTAAAATTGCTTGATGTTATCTTTAAGATTTGCTCCAAACAGATTTAGTTATTTATTTGAACACTTTGGTTTGAAAGGTGACTGGTGATGTGAATCCTGCAAGAAACGTTCGACCCTGAATTCTTGTCTGCTATTCACTATTTGTCCTCTTGATGATTTAGTTTTTAATGCGGAGAAGTTATAAAGACAGGAGCTGTGAGAAAATTACAAAAAGTGCTGCAGCACTTTGTAAGAGCACATATGTTGTTTGTTTTTAACTAACCTACAGATTTTAAAACCAATATACATAAAAATCAACCTGTAAATGATTGTGAAATAGTCTATAGGGCAAACGGTTATTTTTCTACATTAGCTGTGCTATTTGTACTCATATATTTGCAGTGTACAGGTATTTTATTCTAAAATAGTTTGTGTGCCACCTCTAAAGTATAAATCATCCTAAAGCTCATGTTCGACCTTCCTGAGGTGGTTCCATTTCAAAATGCTTTCATCCATCATGCGACCGGAGCACCACCAAGAGGCTAAAGCTCGACTTGTCGGCTGGTTTTTATCTGAGGTCTGGAGGAGAAGTAAACATATAAGGAGAAAAAGGAAAAAAAAAAACAGGACTACAGGTAGAACTGGGAATGCTGATGAGGAACAGAAACGACAAAACAGAGAGCAAACAGGCTCAGAGCGAGCCAGCACTCACCACTCTGCAGCGTCTGTCTGCCTCCAGAGAGAACCCCGCTTGGCAGCATGCCGGTGGGCGTCAGGCCCTTCAGCGTCAACACATTTTCACTCTCCTCTCTGCAGGAGGAGGAAAACGAGTCCGGAAATTATAACGAAACCCGATCAAACCGGAGAAAAACACCCAGTTTCAGAAGGTGAACCCCACATTGACACACTTACGAAAATAAAAGCCCACCTGAGAACTGAGAACATTTTGGCCATTTTCCCTATAGCACGGATCTTGTTTTTGATCACTTCTTTGCGAGCTGCTGCTGCGTTTGCTGCAAAGAAATATCCAAGCATTAAAAAAAAACAGACAAACAAAAAAAAACAAACAGGTACAATACAGTTTTAAGCTGTTGTAAAAATTCCAGAAGCTATTTTTGGTGTTTAAGAGCACACAAAACATACTGTATACGATAATATGCAGACTGTGCACTCAGGGAACAACAGAATCTATCACATTAATGTGATTATATAGAAAATTACCAGCACATGTTTTCTACATATCGTATTTTCCAGCCTATAAGTTCTAAGTTTTTTCATAATTTACAAGCCCTGCGACATATACACTGAAGCAACATATTTATGGATTTTTTACCATATTTATAAACCAATTTTTGGCTAAGATATGACTGTTTTCATTCATTCTGACATTGAAAATATTGAACACTACCATTTTCAGCTGCTAGATGGCACTTGAGTGGTATGGCATGCTGTTGTGTCATGTAATAGTTAAAAGTGGCTATTAATGACACAGTCAGCTTGCCACAGCGGCCACCTTCGTCCAGCTCGCCTGTAGCAACTGTCAAACTAGTTTCATTTTCCTGCGGCGCCCTGGCGAAATGCAGTTAATTTGACCACTGAAGTGCATTTAGTAAGTGAAAGTTCAACTGAGACACACCTTTACTATAATGTTGATTTGTTTTAGGTGTTTGTCTTGTTAAATTTCTAAGAAATGTGCAGCGTTCCTCCTTCCTGATTTCCTCCCTGTCTGCGTGCTCCCGGAGCACCGAGGCAGCGAATACTTTTGAAATGCAGCTGATTTTACCGTTAAAGCCCTTTTATTAAGGAAACGTTAAACTGAGACACACCTTCACTATACTGTCGAGCAAACAATTAATTGTTTTTAAGTGTTAATCTTGTTAAATTCTTGATAAAGTCCTCCCGTGCACGCTCCCGCGATTGCCATTTGGCAGCCAATCAATTTTTGGCGCAACACCGGCCCACATTTCTGGGTTGTCAGCGGTGATGCATAATAGATGTGACGTATACGGCAAAGCGACTTATTTATGTTTTTTTTTTTCACTTTATTAGACAAATTTGGACTGATGCGACTTATACTGCGGTGCCACGTGTATGGCAGAAAATAAGGTAAGAAGTTCAGGTTGCTGCGGTGTGTGACGCACCAATGATAAACACAAGAACTGGATCATGAAATGTGCCTTTGAGGACTTCTCACCATCGAAGATCTCATCTTCATCATTCATGAGCTCATCATCGGAGCAGATGCTCAGCACGTTCACCAGCATCTCCGTGACTGTGTGAGGGAAACGTGTGAATTTGTGCAGGTAGTCGCTGAGAACAGATCGGAACGTATGAGGACTCGTCGAACGGCTCCGTACCTTTCTCCCCAACGAACGGCAAAGACCAGGTGAAGACGTCCATGAAGTTGGGCAGCCAGTAGGGATGGGGTGAGCAGTTGAACTGTCGGATGTTCATCACGTTGTTTTCATATTTCAGGACAGCAGCTGGTGGGGAGGAAGCACAGGAACTGGTGAAGACTCTCAGTCATACAGGTCAGTCCAAAAAAATAAGATGAAAGACAAATCAACTGGATTTCTATTCTGAAGCTGAAGATGTTTAGATTCTTATCCAGGAGGTTTTATCAATTCAAAGGAGCCAAGGGGAGTAAAATGCTTCACTTACTTCAGACTAAATGTAGCCGTTACACACCTTAATACAGTTTATTTACACAAATATCCCTTTATACTGTAGAACACTGGATTACTCAACTAGAGTGAAGAATACTGGAAAAAGTTTAGATTCAACTAAAGTTTATAGCTTTATTTGGGGGCTATAGAGTCATGTTTGCTTCTTTGACATGAAACATCTTAGTGTCCCACGTTGTGGAAGAGGGGGAACTGGAAGTACCATCAGTCCATTCATGTTCTGAGAATGATAACTTGATAAATATGTGAGGTGCCAAATACCTATAAATAAAGCTTTCTGGGTGGAGTTTGCATGTTCTCTCTGTGCATGTGTGGGTTTCCTCCCACAGACCAAAAACAATGGTAACTCTATTGTCCATAGGTGTGAGTGAGAGAGTGAATAGTTGTCTCGTTCTCTATGTGTCCCTGTAATGGACTGGAGACCTGTCCAGGGTGTCCCCCACCTCTCACACAATGACTGCTGGGTACTGATATCAGTGAGCTCCGTGACCCAGAAAGGAGGGAGCAGGTCAAGATAATGGATGGACTGATGGATGGATGGATATCTATCTGTCATTGAACCTGGTAATGGATAAAATTGCTCCCTTTACCGGTTAGGATCCAACACTCCGCACTGCCTCAGAAACCTTCCTCTGTTCTGTACATTCATATAGGACGGTGGCCACCTTGGATTTTGATGTGGCAACCCAATTTTTGATTCAATTCATTTCAGTTTATTTATATAGCGCTAAGTCACAACAGAAGTCATCTCAGGGCACTGAACAGAAACATTTATATACAGTAGTCCCTCGTTTATCGCGGGGGATCTGTACCCTGAAGACCCA